GAGAGGCCCGGCATTATATAACAGTTAAGCTAAAGAGCTAGAAAACCTGGACAGTATCAATCAGCTTCCAGTGCGCATTGCGGGGTACATTCAGTGTCGTGTGTTGATTGAAGCTGATTGAGGGCAAAAGGGTGAGGGAGAGGATCATGTAGTGTAGATTTCACACTTTGAATATGATTAGGGGTAGCAATATTGCACCACCTTTCACTTTCACTTTCTTATGCACATTCAAACAAGTCCAACAGTGACATTTTCTTGGGTGGAATTGAATTGTTCAACAAATCTGAACCTGGTGCTTACAAATTCAAACCACCCAGCAGCACAGCCTTTCTTTCCAAATCTAGAATTGCACCCATAAATGTGGGGAAGAAACAAAGTTGTATTATTGTGGGTTGCATGCCCTTAATTTGGCAGCAGCAGAGATTCCTTCATTCCATGGCCAAAACGAAGAGCAGTTTGTTATTCCTGTTAGAAGAGTTGGTTATGGAGGAGAGGCTGGCTGCTTAATTATTTCTTTGGGGGCTGTAGCCCCTGTGTTTTTTTCCAAATTATTGTCCTTGAAACAGGCTCCATTCCTATTTTGGAGAGCATATTCTGCCCCCGTTCTACTCAAGATTCCCCTGAGAAGGAGCCAGTAGCAGGAAGAAAAAAAAGGCAGTTAATATACACGGAAAACATGAGAGTTATTTGAGATGTTTGCTTTTTTAGAAAAAAAGAATGAAAATATCTGCTTTTGCTGCTCCTCCTGCTACTGCTCCTGCTCCTGTTGTGGCTCAGCCAATGCAACTATTCTATTCTGTTCTATTCTAGCTTGGTATTTAACAAGCCTTTTGTCCCCATAAAGAGCAATCACAGGAGGAGGAAGAGGAAGAGGAAGAGGAGGACGAGGAGCTCACAAAGTGATGTAAGAGAGAAATGCAGGGGCTTGAAAATGAAAGCAACTGGTACCACCACCACCACCACCACATTCAACAGTTTGCAAAACGCAAGCTTTTTTGCCATTCATTCATCCATCCATGACTAGCACACATCCATTCAGCCCCCACCCAAACAGCCAAAGGGAATAAGTAACTATTCCTCCTCCAGGAGGGAAAATCTTTTTTGGGGAGGCCAGAGCGGACTCACACAGGATTCGAACTCCAGACCACCTTGGAACAGACTGGGTTTGTTGGTTTTCTCTTTTAAATCACTGCAAAGCAAAAGAAAGACGAATAAGAAAAAAACAAAAAGGAAATATTACACACACACAGGATAGACTAGAGAGAATGTGCTGTGTCTACTAGTGGTGTTATTCTGGGAGAAGGAAGGAACGAATTCAAGGAAAGAGAGTGTTGCGAGAGGAAGAAAAATGGAGAGTAGCAGCCGCAGCATGAGCCAGCGGCAGCTAGCAGCAAAGCAGCAGCAAACAGATCTAGAGAAGTAGATCTACCTTTGTTGTTGTTGCATTCGCCTCCTCCTCGAATGCGTTTTTTGCGCTGCTGCTGAAAGCTCCGCTTGCTTCCATCTGCTTGTTGGCTTGCACATAACACGGCGTTCCTTTGTTTTGTCCTCGTCGTCTCCGTCGTCTCGAGGGCTGTGGAGAGCAGTTTGCCGATAGTTAGCACCCGCAAGGAAGCAGAAAAAGATCAATCCTCTCTTCTCCTCTCTCACTCACTCACTGGTGCACAACACACAACACACACATACACGCTGCTCGTAGCCAGCGCAAGGATAAAGAAGTTAAAAACAGTTTGGTGTTTACCTGGAGATTCGTCGTTCATTGTTTTCGCTTTTGCTCTTACTCCTGCTCCTCTTCCTCCTCCTCTTTCCGTTTGGTTGAGCTGATCAAGTGGTCCCTTTGTAAATGCTCCGAGATGGGCTCTGCTGTTCCGATTAGAGCATCAGTGGTCCCTTCTCTTGGCTGGCTGGATCAACAGGAAGATTGCACAAGGATGTGACTATGTTAACACTTGCATCTTCTCAAGCGCATGGGAAAGGCATGTTCCTTACAGCCTCCCCCGTCTCAATCTCTTTCTTCGCCTCTCTCTCTCCCATCTCTCTTCGTTGTTAAGCATCTCCAGCGAAGTTCTTCGGTTTCTTGGCAGCGCAGCCACAGATTGTCATCTCCCTCTCTTTGGCATCCACAGTATCGGGATTTGGAGATCACAGCAGTACCGACCAGTTGTAGGAGAGAGGTAGATGTGCCGCCAGCGATCTGCAAACGCAAGGATTCTCCCGTGAGCAAGAAGCACACAATTATCGAGCTCCAACCTTGATAATTGCAGGAAAATCACCTTGTCGGTTCCAAAGAGTCTCTAGATAGCGGGCTCCGGGCGGCTAGAGCTCAGAACGCGTAATGTTGAGGTGCTGAAGATCGTGCTCTCGAGAGCTGCAGCAATTGCAAAGAAGGTTTCTGGAGCAACAGTAGAATTCTACCTCGAGAGGCCGTATATCGCCCAGGCAGCAGAATTGAGCTCGAGTTCATCAGCCGGAGCGAAGATATGACGCTGTCCAATATAACAACCGCGTCTGGCGATTCCGGCACTCGAGCAGACAGTTCTGGAGTTCAGCAGGCTCATCTCCACGGCTCCTTCAACCCGGGGTTTATCTCAGGTGGTGCTGCTCAAGGGGAACAGCAGCAGCAGCAGCCGCAGCAGCCGCCCGCCAAAAAGAAGCGAAATCTGCCGGGAACTCCAGGTACAGTCTCGGTCTTTATTACTCTCGTGATTCGTAAAATCTCTAAATTCTCGTTGTTTGATTGATCTTGCATGCACACGAAGGGACTTAGATCATAACAAGTCCATAAAGTTGTCAGTCGAGTCCTTTGAGTGCTTTCTTCTTCTTACCTCAGCCGAATTTTGCAGACCCAGATGCGGAGGTCATCGCATTATCACCCAAGACCCTCATGGCCACAAACCGATTTGTCTGCGAAATTTGTGGAAAGGGCTTCCAGCGAGACCAGAACCTGCAGCTCCACCGGAGGGGCCACAATCTCCCATGGAAGCTCAAGCAAAGGACGAGCAAGGAGCCCCGCAAGCGAGTGTATATATGCCCAGAAGTCAGCTGTGTCCATCATGATCCATCCAGAGCGCTCGGGGACCTGACCGGCATCAAGAAGCATTTTTGTCGTAAGCATGGCGAGAAGAAGTGGAAATGCGATAAGTGCAACAAGCGGTATGCTGTGCAATCGGATTGGAAAGCTCACTCGAAGACTTGCGGCACCCGAGAGTATCGATGTGACTGTGGAACTCTCTTCTCCAGGTAACAATTCTCGGCCCCTCTCGCATCTTTGATATATGAATCCATGAAGTTGCTTGGCTCTACATTCCTGCAAAAACTCGAATGAGTACCAGAAGGAAAGGACAAAAAATCCGAGTTTTTTCGCATGCTACCTGAAGTAGGCTTATAGCTAGATGGAAGAAGGCAGCGCTAGAGATATGGTTAGAGTACTTACTGACCATTGTTGGCATCTTATCTCAGGAGGGACAGCTTCATCACGCACCGTGCCTTCTGCGATGCGCTCGCGGAGGAGAGCGCCAGGACGAGCAAGCCACCGCTGCCGGAGGGAGTCATCAACAACAACATGCCACCTTCTCCGCACGGTCAGTACGCGATCCGCATGCCTCCGGGAGCAGCCGGCGTGGGATTCAGCGACGAGCTTTCTGCAATGGGAGCAATGCAGCACTTAGTACCAAGCGACGACTTCCAACAAATGCAACGATGGGGAGCGGCTGCCGGGGGCTCAGCCGGTCCGGGAGGAGCGGCACCCCGACTCTCGCTGTGGGTCGACCCGGGAGCTGACAGCAGCATGGGAGGCTTCGAGTCGTCGCCAACCGGAGGCTCACCGTTTTCTCTCAAGAACAATGCAGGCATTCACAACGGGGTCGGGATGGCGGGCATTCTCGGACAGCTCGAGATGGACATGCCGAGACAGGCACCGGGAGGACACTTATACTCGAACAGTCCGTTTGGAAACTCGGGACTCTCGGCACAGGGATTCCACTCGCCGACACAGCAGCAGCAGATGGGAGGTGGCAACATTGCAGACATGATAGCAGCGTTTAACAACAGGATGGAAGCTCGCGGGGCTGGTGGCTCGGCAACAGCGGGTCTCTCACTCTCGTCAGCCAGCGGAAGCAACGCGACCAGCTTTGGAGTTCCTCGGCAACAAGGACCCTCGGCATCGGCCGCGGCACAGATGTCCGCCACGGCACTGCTCCAAAAGGCAGCACAGATGGGAGCAACCGCGAGCAACACTTCTCTACTCAGAGGATTCGGACTGGCTGGATCGGAGTCGAGCAACTCTTTCAACCTGGGGGCTCTCTGGCAGCATGCAAACAGTAGGCAGCAGGACCAACCTGGTGGGAGGTCATCGTCTTCGCCAGGAAACATGCCGAGTTCTTCCCAGCCGCCACCCCAGCAGCTGCTCCTGAGACGACCCAGCGACGTTTCGGCGGAGGTGTCCGGCTCCGGATCGTCCTCGGCTTACGGCGACCATGTCCCGCGATCATCTAACGAGCACATGAACATGATGCCGGATCAGAGCTCATACAACGTGTTTGGAGCGGCAAACATGAGCCAGTACTCATCGCTTCTGGGAGGTGTGAACGCGGCGGCGCTGGAGAATCCATCCGCTCAAATGATGGTGTCTGCGGAGGATGGTTTAGTACGCAGCATGGCCGGGAAGAAGAACAATCCTTTCAGCGAGCAAGCAATGCTGGCAGCGGGACTCCATGGAAGATTGATGCCCAAGGTGGAGGAAGGAAGCGATAGAATGACGCGGGATTTCCTAGGAGTGAGCGCAGCGACGAACGTACCTGGGATTATGGGAAGGATGCCTCCAAACATGGTGGATTTCAGTAACAGCAGTGGCCAGCGGGACAACAACTCGATGAAATCCTCCTCGGCCGGGGTTGGAGCTGGAGCTGGGAACAGCGGCTCGCCAGGAAAATCTTGGGAGTGTTCTTGATCATCATCGATCCATCGGCTCGGGGGGGCTCTATATAATTACGAGACTGGCAAAATCCAAGCTTTTGGTTGATTGATTCATCCTAGACTAGAGAATAAATCTGTTATCACTTCGATCGACAGCGTTCTCTTCGGCAGCGATCCAAGAACCTCCGCATCGAGAATGCGCGTTCGTCAACGCCCTGAGCGAGATTTCAACGATTCAAGCTGAGAATTTCGAGAGGAATTGGCTTACCTGAGATGTAATATTATTTTCAAAGCGATTGAATCTTTGCGTGATCCGCAGTGGCAGTAGACAGACAGCGATCGCGATCTCAAGCGCTATCGTCCGGCTTCACGCATTTCCTCCTATCGCCCTAAAAATTAAAACCCCCGAGAAACCCTAGATTTCCATTTCAAATTGTGAATATTCTGCGCTTTGCTTGTACACTAGAACCGAGGGTACCAGAACATTCCTTTGATACCCTCGGGGTCCGTTTGAAAGCCTAGAGCTCTGTAAAATTCCACTACTGCAAAGACCAACGAAGAAAACGTTGTCAAAAACCACTCAAAGGAAAAGAAAGAAATATACATTGAGAGATGAAAAGCTTTACCTTGAGCGTCTGCAAAAAGTGTGATGTTTCCAATGTCTCTGCGGAGCAACGCCCTCACCATTTGCTCCACGAGAGCTTTTCCTAGTCCTTGTCCCTGTACAAAAGGAAACTAGACGAGATCAAAACGTTAGTCTCGATGGATTTTCCTGCCTGATAGTCTGGATCGACGAGAACATCCCAGATCGTCGCATTAAACGCGTGATCCGACGTCGCTCGAGCAAGTCCAATGAGCGATCTCTCCTCACAACCTGGAAGAAAAGGTTCCGATAGTGAGAGCTGGAAACTAGAGAAATCTCTAGCTTCACTTCCTCTACTCCTATAGAATTCACCTAGTCAGTGGAAAGATCGAGCACCTCCAGAAGGCAATTGTCTGTGAAGATGGAGCGTCGCAACCATGTAGCTGTTCTTGAGTGCCGCTTCGACTTTTCCAACCGGTCTTCTCGGCCATCCTACCTGTTTGTCGATCAATGCATGTCAATCCATCAAACCAGAAGAATGAAGAGAAAAAGAACAAAGAAGAACGACTAGATCACCTTGTCACAAAGTTGTTGTAGCTCATAAACATCCACCTCTGCTCCAGTCGCGAAGACAATTCTTTGTATTGTTCCATTCTCTTGGCACTTTTCTACCAAGACAATGTCTTCCTCTCCCTCGATCTCTGCCTCCGCGTTTCTGGGAACTGGCTCTACAATTGGAGTAGACGAGTTCGTCTTTAGAACACTAGGTAGCCAAGAAAAACGATAAGAGCTCGCTCAAAATCACAGGAGTAACACTTACCCGCTGATAGAATCCCACAAGCTCGCTCTCAATCGATAATAATCTTGTGTAGCTGCAAGAACAAGCGACGTAATTCAATATCTAGAATGGAATGCGCTCTACCTGGCCTGGAAATCCACCATTGCGAAGAATTCGATGGAAGCGACTGAATTGCGCTGCCGGCATTCCAAGAACCGAAGATTTCAGTGCGTCCTGCCCTAGGGAACGAGTCGAGAGGAGCGTACCTACATCTCTGGCGAGGAGCTATGGACGATGACGCTGCGGCTAGGGCACCAAGGAGCGCTACACTGGTGCCACACACACTCGCCATAGCTGGGAAGAAAGAATTGCTGGATTGACGACAAGTGGACGGCACGGATCTTCCCCGGTTTGTGCGAGGTGTAAAAGGGCGTTTACATTTTAGGGCTTTTGGAGTTTTAGGGTTCTAGCGCAATGCCTGTCGCGGAGGACATCCCTGCGGAAGCTCTGGAGGAGGCGCTGGATTCGCCGCCGGCTGTCATGGATGATTCTCCTGCTGCGCCAGCCGGAGAGCGATCTTCCGAGGTAGATTCAGCAGAGAAGGAGAGCACCACCGAGGAGAAAAGCAGCGAGAGCATTGAGGCGACAGAGAATGCTGCCGACGCTCCCAAGGAGGTCGATGAGAGCGCTGCGGAGAATATCGCGCAGCCGGAGGTGCCAGAGGAATCGAAATGGGCGGCGGAGGAAGTCCAGGGGCCGGAGCTAACGTCGGATCGAGTGCAAGGAGCTGAGAAAGAAGGCCACGAGGAGGATCTCCCCAAGGAAAAACAGGAGGACAAGAATGGAGAAATGGAGAAGGAGAGCAGTGAGGACGTGGTGAACGCATTGTATGAGAGGATGAGCTCGGCCGTGGCGAGCGCTCACTCGGACGGGAAGAAGGACAAGGATCACGATCGCAAAGACCCAGTTGTGGACTCAGTGATGGCGGTGGCGGCTCCTTTTGTGGAATTCGCGGTGGCTCAAGCACAGTTTTTGAAGAATGGCATGTCGGAGACGACGGACGTTGCCGTGAGAGCGGCATGCAACCAGCTTAGCGAGCTCCAGGACTCGTCCACCACTCAGTACTACTACGCGAAAGTACGTACACGCTTCTGTGTAGCGCCATGGATTTTTTTCTACAGGGATTTTTCTTTTGACGTCGTGCAGGACGTATCTTGCAGGACATGTTTTGGAGATTCAAGCGGGAGTACCGGGAGTACGAGAACGTTTTCTTCTCAACTTTGAAAGGTTTTTTTCTCTTTTGTTCTGGTCTTTTGCTCGATGATTTATATGTTTACTCTTCTTAGATGGTGTGAAAGCTGCTACTGTTAGTCCTGGAATGGCTGCAATGGTGGCAACGGGTGCGGCATTTCTGTTCTTACGACGTAAGTATTGATCTTTGCAAGTGAGTTAGTGCGACCTTAAATACCTGGAACAGGCCCCAGAAGGCTACTGTTTAAATACACGCTGGGACGTTTCCGGAGCCAAGAGGTTTGCGTGTTCTTATGTTTTGTTGGTTTAAATCGCTTCTTCTGTCCAGGCGATGGCAGCAAGCGCGCAGAAGAAGGTGGTGGAGCTGCGTGAAGCTCTTGAGCTACAGAAGAACGAAAGGAGAAAACTCGAGGTTCGCGCGGCTGATTTCCAACTCTCTCGTTCTTACGCACATCCTTTTCAGGAGAGGTTCAGGCTTGCGGAAGATGAATTTCTGAGGGGCCAGTCGAAAATGGCGTAGGTTTTTTGTGTGGTTATGCCCTGGTTTTTATTGGTTGTTTGTAACGCGCAGGAATGCTGGAAGTCAGATTCGTTCGCTTGTCAAGAGCATGTACAAAACAGAGAACCATGCGCAAGGTTGGTGCACGAATCACTCCACTTCTATTTTCTTATGATTTTGTTTCAGGACTCTTGGAGAAGCTGAGAGACATGTCTGGCAAACCCGCCTTTCATCTGCGAGCGGAGGTAGAGCTTGTTTTTCTTGCTAAGTTTCTCATGATTCATTCGTGTGCAAAACAACAGGTGGCATCAATGGCTTCCGAGGCAAAAGCACACAGATCTTCGCTCGACAGGAACCTCTACAGAATCGCAAGCCACAACATCCGTGTTTGAGTTTGTGTTTGGTTCTCTCTTTTTTTGTTCGGCCCGGAAGTAGAAAAGTTGCTCCACATTGTATCATTTTACTCGGGATTGGCCTTGCGAATCTACTCTCGTTTCTTCCAGTGGGACATTCTTTGTTTTATTTTATCTACAAGTAAACACGACAATGATTCGTACCCGGCACGTTGTTTTTAGGATCTTAGGATGGCATGACCTAGCAAGCACCTGCTGTACGCCATAGCCTCCAGCTGATCGGTTCATGGCTTCTGTTCTCGCCACCAAATCTAGGTCAATGGCTTCAATTAAATGGTCAAGACGTTGACGAAATTTCAAGAGGATCTGCAACCCCTTCTCGAGACATCGTGAGATCAATGTGTTTCTGGATGCTAAATCCAAAGCAGCCACTGTCGCTGAAGTTAGCTCGCATTCCTTTACCTGGGACCGCCTCCTGCCACACCTTTAATATATATGAATGATAATTTTGGGGAGGAAGACGTCGCACAGAGGCATGGAAAATCCATTAGAATAGTCAATCCAGTTGATGATTTGGGCGAAGGAAAACGGATCAATCACAAAAGCTTTCCAATTTTCTCACATAGCACAGCGTGTGACAAATGGGATGAGAGGTCTTCCATCAGAAAATCTAGGCGTCAATGATCTTGAGAGCTTCTTTTTACAGCTCCGGGCTCATTTCGTAAGGCGATGGGACTCGCAACTCTTTCTCATGCTACCAGTTTGAGAGTTTTCTTTATTTGTTATTTACCCTTAAACGTGGGCAAGTCAAGTTATTAACTGCATAGTAATTGATTGATATATCATCGCTTACGGGCAGAACGTAATGGTGAAAGTTCCTCCGGTTCCAGTGCCAGAAGTCTTGGTATCACCAGACCAGCTATAGGCATCCGGGCATCTGGCACGGACGTTCTGCGCGTACTGAGAGTTTGGATCGTCCCGGTTGGGACTGGCACAAGTATTCCCATTCCTGTTCTGGGGAGGACAAGTCGCTGCCTCCGGTCGGCAGGTCAGACCTCTGCCAGATCCAGTGATGCTCATCCCAGTGTCGATGAAGAAGCCATCCACGGCGCTCACGTCGTAGAAGTCATTGTTGCTGTTGCTGTTGATCGAGAACTCGGCCAGGAGGCCGGGAGTTCCAGTGCCGATGTTTCCCGCCCAGCGATTCGGAGGACTTAGTCGGCGAGATGTGCCGGGGGTGAGAGTGAATCCGGAGGTTCCAATTGAGGGGCCCCCGGCGTTCTCGCGGACGATGATGTTCCGCGAGCCCCCGCAGCGATTGACAACGTTGAAGGAAGTGGCTGCTGCGAGTGGGATTGGTACAAAACAATGGGTTAGAGCAACAAGAGCAACAAGAGCAACGAGGATGGCAGTAGAGCTTGCCATTGGAACTGTGTATGCTATACCTCTCTAATAATATTTCAAGTTTCTACACGGATTTATATAGTCCAGGGGAAAGAGGTTGTGGACCACATGCAACGTTGAACACCACCCGTGAGTTCAGTTCACGTCACAAGACTTTGAAAATCATGCTCATGAACAGTATATGTGGTTTGATGAATTTCAGTCAAGGATTTGCTGCTGAACTTTGTGAATTCCCAATGCAGCTCTCAGTTTCATTCGTTTTGCTTTGTCTATCCTATATTCTGTTTTGGTAGTCTTGTGGTGCCATGAAACTCTGCAATTAAGTTTGCAAGCTTGTTGTGGGTGTTTTCCATCGCAATCGTATAAGTACTGTTTTAGATAAGTGTTTTAACAATTTAAGAAAAAGAAAATTTGTTTAATACTTAAATATGTTTCTTGGAAGACCACCCGTGAGTTCAGTTCACGTCACAAGACTTTGAAAATCATGCTCATGAACAGTACATGTGGTTTGATGAATTTGAGTCAAGGATTTGCTACTGAACTTTGTGAATTCCCAATGCAACTCTCAGTTTCATTCGTTTTGCTTTGTCTATCCTATATTCTGTTTTGGTAGTCTTGTGGTGCCATGAAACTCTGCAATTAAGTTTGCAAGCTTGTTGTGGGTGTTTTCCATCGCAATCGTATAAGTACTGTTTTAGATAAGTGTTTTAACAATTTAAGAAAAAGAAAAATTGTTTAATACTTAAATATGTTTCTTGGAAGACCACCTGTGAGTTCAGTTCACATCACAAGACTTTGAAAATCATGCTCATGAACAGTACATGTGGTTTGATGAATTTGAGTCAAGGATTTGCTGCTGAACTTTGTGAATTCCCAATGCAGCTCTCAATTTCATTCATTTTGCTTTGTTTATCTATTTATATTCTGTTTTGCCAGTCTTGCGGTGCCTAACAAGAAGCATGAGATTCTGCAATTAAGTTTGCAAGTTTGTTGTGGGGGTCTTAATCATATAAGTTTAAATGTACTGTCTTAGGTAGGTGAGAAATGGAGGAGTGTTTATTGCTTGTTCTTCTTTTTAGATATACAGACCCAAAGGTTTTTTTAGCTCCACTTTAACTCTACTGCATCTGGGTGGAAGAGCATCTTATGAAAGGATGAGTTTTAACAAGTATTATCCAATGAAATTGGGTAATTAATTTCATTACATATGTAAAAATAAAAATAATGATCCAAGTGGGTATATATTTGGGTGTATTCAACAATTTAGGAAAACAAAAAAAAACTAAAAAAATGCTGTAAGGGCTACGATGCCATATACTAATATTAGCATAGTGGGATTTTGGTAGCCGTCAGATTGGTTTCAATCCGGACCACTCGCTCTTGTATATAAACTAGAGTTTTTAGGTTAATTGATATGCACATTTCTATATTGCCTTTTTATATTCCATGCACTCACATTGGTGGAAATAAGGGGCACTTTTGATTGTCCCTGAAGAGTATTTAGATTTAGGATTTTGGTTAGATTTAGCTTTTGCATTGTCTAGATCTAACTTTTTCCATTTCCTTTCTTTTGTTCTTCCTTTTTAGGATTTTGGTTCAAATCTAGCTTTTTGCATTGTCTAGATTTATCATTTCCTTCTGGCTTTTTGTCATTTCTTTTCTTTTGCTTTTTCTTTTTCGTTCATCTTCATGGCAAATTAGTAATCTCCTCCTTTGACTTTAGAGTAGTAGTTGGTCTAATTGCTTAATGCTATGTGCTTGCAATTGAACAACCAAACTCAATTGATGGTGGCATTCATGGCACGTGGTCCAACTCCTCCTACTCTTTGTGCCAATCTTTGTATTTGGCCGGAGTTCTTTCGTGGGAATCCTAGGGATGATGTGTACCATTGGTTTGATTACTTC